AGCTCATACTTAGATTCACGAAGCCTCTCACTCCAGAAAGTAATATCCCAATGGTTCAAATCATCAGCTTCTGGAGCACCTTGACTTTTACAAAACTCTTTCAGGTCTTCCAAATCTACAAAGATCAGGGGAAAAGCTTGTGAACTCAAAAAACTGCCAGCTAAGAGAGGTCAACCAGTTAAATTGATTGCATTAAAGAAAGAAGAGAAAGAAGAAAAGTGATTCATATCAAAAGCACAAAAAACAAGGTGGTTAGGTGGTATCATCTTGTTTTCAAGACAGGTAAAACAAGAAAAGAAGAAGCAACCTGTTTATAAAGATCTATCACCTATCAGCACTTGTCTATTTTACCTCATGTCTACCAATTGAAGACTAAAAAGGAAAGGTCGGAACTGATAAAGCCAAATATTAAAAAACAAAAAGATTAAAACTGATAACAAAGGCCGAGTATACTTTACATCTCAAATACCATTGAGATGATTTTGCAGGCCCTACCTTTGACTGCAGGATCCCAAGAAGCACTGCGAAGCTTTTCTAAAAGCTCTTCAGCTTTATCAACAGTGGCCATTTTCATTGCCATGCTTACCTATATACATAAACAATTTTAATCTTCAAAAAGGAAAAGAAATTTGAAAAAACATAGATGGCCTTTTTTTGGGGACAAAAAAACCCCAAAAAAACATAGATGGTATTGCGAGTTCGAAAGTAAAAATGTATACCTCAGCATAGTTATTGTATCCAAGGAGCTTAGCCTTTTCCAACCTAAGCTTAAGAATTTGGTCAATTATCCCAGTGTTATCAAGGTCTCCATCAGAAGCACGGTTTATATACGCACGGTAAACCTCCTCTCTTAGAGTTCTATTCTTTGCATGCTGCATGACAGCCATATAACTTGGCGCATCCAATGTGATTATCCATGGCCCATCTTCTGCAGTAGCTTTTTCATGCCCCTGTTATCGGTTATGGACAGCAGAAAGCACATAAGAGAAAAGGCAACTAATGATAATTCAACTGTCAAACATACACAAAGAGAGCTTCCGTATTACCTTAGACACTGCTGTCTGTGCAGCCAAACCAAGAGATGTGGCAGGCAATCCCTCAATATCTTTCTTATCAGTTATTAATTTTTCGAACTTCTTGGTGGCATCCAAAACATTCTCCTCAAATTTCTGAGATAGCTTTGCTAATTCCTGCAAAACGAAGATAAGGTCAAAAGCAAGATAGTGAATTGAAAATTCCGTCTTAGCTGCACAACAACGGTCTGACTGTTTTGCACCTTGCTCTCCCCTCCCCTGGCAGGCGAGGCACCAACCCAACCACCCGAAAAAGAAGATAAGGTCAAACCCAAGAGTTTTGCACCTTTTTCTCCTCTCCCTTGGCAGGCGAGGTACCGACCCAACCACCCAAAAAAGAAGAAGAAGCCAGAGAAAATGGAAAAACAGCCACAACATAATCAGAGGGCTGTATAAGTAACTTCGAATATATATCTAAAAGCCATGACCTGTAGATAGATTCCTCCAATTCCAGTCCATTAAATTTTTCCACTTGTTAACAGCACATTTTAGAAGAGACATTTCCGGGTATAGAACAATGAGAAAGCTAGGCTCAACAAGACATGATAGATACCTGTTCAATCTTGTTAAATTGCTCTCTTTTATCATCCTCAAGAGCGATACCACTTAGTACAGCCTCCTTTATTTGCGCTGCACGAGCAGGAAGAAGAGTATGAGACGACGATCTAAAACATTAGAGTTTGCGGTTGACAAAAACACACTCATGGGAATGACCTCAAAAGAAGGTAAGAGATTAGTTGATACTCTTAGACAGTAAAAATGTGGTTTCCCTTTTTTGGGGATGGGAGTTGGGAATCTTCTTTTTCTTTTTCTTATGCGCGGGGAACAATTCATTTTTAATGGAATCCTGTGACCAATAGGAACAACTACAGCAAATTCTAACACATATAAACCACAATTAACAGAAACTTCACCCATGGTGGCACTCTTCTTCGTCATGGACGTTGGGAAGAAATTATTGTACATACAAGATAATAATGTACAGTTCTCAACTTCACCAGATGAACAATAACCTTGGCAGATTCAGCACAACTACCAAAAAATTGGCAGACAGACCCCGTGATACATTACAAGAAGATCAAAACTAAAATTTAGAGTCATAGACAGACAGCTTATGGAAGTAAATAGATTTTCATGCTAAAAGACACCTCCTCCCGAATTTCGACAGATTAAAGGAAAGATTGTCATGAACTTACAGTCAACTATTCGTTTACGAGCATCACTCAAAGACTCCCAATCAGGAGACTCCCGTATGGCTTTGAATGCATTATAGATTGGCTTGCTCTGACCCAATTTAAGCGAAAAAGCAACTTTTTCCGGCTACACGAAAAGAAAATAATATTAATGCTGCACAGGAGGAAAGTAGTAGTATACGTAAGCAATAAGTAAAAAGGAACATGTGTATCCTGAAGAGAGACAAATTTCTAGCATCAAACTTTTTACATAAAAAGATTTATAATTGGTTAAATCAGGGAGAAAGTGTGGTGTCCTACTGAAGATATCATCATCTATCCAGCAAACAATTCTGGTTAGTATTCCTTGCAGTTTAAATCAAGGGATTAAAACTCTTCTCTGCTTTTTTTTTTATGGAGCCAGAGGTGCAAGGCAAAAGCTATAATACAAATTAGTAAAATTTAACAGCTTGTTTTGATGGTTGTTACCTATTGTATTTTGTCATATTGTTACTATGTTTGTTTTGATTGTTTATGCAACAACGAAAAGTGCCATATATATCATTATATGTAATGACCGATTTGGTGGTCGCGTCTTACCTTTTTTCTCACCTTGCCCTTACTCACGTATTAAATAATCCTATTTTTCATATATCACCTTTTTATATAATAATTTTATCTCGTATCCTATTTTTTCTTTGTGGTATTGTAGCTTATTCTTCAGATTGCTAGGTGCGTGCCATCACGAAAGACGAGAAACATATTCATCAAAACAATATAATACAGTATAATAGTATACAATGAAATACAATACATAATGAAACATATATAACAACCATCCAAACAAGCTGTATATCTACAGAGACAAGACACTATAAATTTAACATGTAAAAGGAAAAAGACCATCTTGAGCTGATTGAATGAAAAAGACACTATCTTTACACTCTATAGACAGAAAAAAATTAATGATCATAGTCCAAAAGAAGTAGGCCCTTAAATAACGAACCTGAACTTCTTCAATAGCGGCACGAAGATCGGGATTATCTTTGACAGACTTGAGATGATTCACGGCACCCCAAACAACCGTCAATCTATCAACTATCTTCTCCAACGGCTCCACCAGCTTCGGCCAGGTGGGCTCCACCGTCTTCTCCAAAGCTTCTAAATCCTCATCCTGCACGCAATTCACAAAAACAAAAAAGGAACAAAAATTTAACGCGCCATATAACTAATTCCCACGCACTTTCTCTCGGATCCAAAAGAGAAAAAAAAAGAAAAAAAGAAGAAGAAACATACGACTTGTTTGAGCAAAGCACGAATTCCGGGACGAACGTGCTTGGCCTCGATTGAATCGAAGGGTGGGAAATAGAAGTCCTTCAATAGAGGATTGTCATCGGAAGTAGCAGTCGACATTTTAGTAGGATGATCGGAAATTGATCCCGGCGCCGGACAAAACGATCTGACGGCGATGGTTTTGCGACGGTGATGAGGAGAAGGGAGTGTTGACTTGGGGAGAGTGTGAAGACAGAGTGCGAAAGAGGAGGACCAAAGGGGACAGGAACGGCACTGGAGTAAGTTTTTTGTTGTTGGACGGGAGAAAGCAGGGGTTTTTAAGCAAAAGTGAGCTGAACGAGATAGAGAAAAGCGAGTCGCCATTAGCATGAGAAGGGTTATAATAAGCGACGGAGCAGGAGTAAAGCCGTACTGGGCTCGGTTTCGTGCTAACCCTATCCTACTATACTTCATCTCTTTTTTTTGGGTCCGAGTTTGAATAAAGTTAAAAGTCTAGTACTTCTCTAGACCCATGATATGTTGATGTGATGGATTAATATGTACAAATATCTAAGCCTATTAGGGGTCGTTTGGTTGGTCAATCATAAAAAAGGTTCTTTGAAATATACTCTTCTAACAATATTTGAATTATTCCAATACTCAAACTTTACCTATAGTTTTGGACCTGTTTTCATTTAAACTTGGTAAATTATGGAGTAACATTTACCTCAATCTAATAGAACATCTGAACTAGAGAAAATATGGATCATGTTGATTTGAATCTTAACTTAATTTTTTAAACACAGGGAAGAAAACATGTCTTGAGGGTGAGATATGAGAGGGAACTTATAGGTGCCAAAGATATGTTAGGAATGTGGTGATATCATTTCAACAAGAAGTTGTCTTTGAAAGATTGAGAAAAAAGAGTTTAACTTATAAGGTTTCAAGGCATTCCTCTGAGTTTGATGGGGATAATAGTCATGTTATCATCACCTTGTCTCAAAAAGATTATTAAGTAAGCTTTTAAGTGCCAATCTATCTAAATTTTGATGTAAATTCAGACTAGATTACTCAACCCGTGTTGCTCCAATTAGAACAGAGAACGACAAGAACACAATAAAAGAGAAAGACGAGGATGGGCAAAATCACTAAAGAAAAAAATCTATTCAATTAGCAAAAAAGAAGAGAGAGGTATTTGAACCCTCGATGTGCTAGCCTTCCCTACCATCGGCCTATCCGCTTTCAGAGCTTATTCTTTATCAACTACAAATAGTACAAAGGAAAAGAAAAGGCCGCTCCCAAATCGACAGGGGAGAAGAAGAAAGTCTCTTCCCAGCTAAGTCCTATGTTGAGTAGGAAGACTGGCCCTTCGACAGAACCAAGTCTTCCGGCGGCTGAAGAAGATCCAGGGGATCAGTCCGAGATAGAAAGAGCCTTAGATCAACTTGAATTGGCCAAGATTAAAGAACAAAAAGCTTCACGGTTACAAGTCATTTTCTCATTACTTTGGGTCTCTCATTTTCGATTTTTATTGGCATTACTATAGTGGGATTTCAAAAAAATGGGCTTCATTTTTTAAGCTTCTTATTACCTGCAGGATTTTCATTCACAGTCAAAATTTCAAGGGTTTATTGCAAGTCCTTGTAGTAACATAATGAAGCAGAGCATTTGAGCTAACAGAATCCCACTTGTAAATGAACAAAAATGTAAGGTAACAAGAGTTTATTGCTTCAAGGACCTCTTTTGGATTGTAAGTGTTTAATATACAAATTGGCTCACATGGGAACCAATGTCTGCTGGAACTTTACATACATAAGCATGAGAATCATGTACTTGAAAGCAAGCCATAGCTGGATTTTCTTCGGCCTTTCACCTTTACGAAGTTGGATCTCAGGTGCCTGTTACACGCACAATGCAAACCACAGATGTGAAAAGAAAACAAATGAGCCGCAATATGAAGACCAAGGAAAGAACCACGTTGGATAGATATAGAAAGGAGTAAATCTCAATCGTTACAAGCACAGCGACAAGATTCAACATTTCTACCGTGTTACAACAAAATGACCCAATAATACATCAGTTGGTCAAGTTCTGAACAGCTTATTAGCTGCACTTACTTTCAGACGTGTTCCTGAATGGTCTGGAACTTCATAACCAAATCTGTCATCTAGTCGTCTATGTGTTGGAAACTTTGGATGGAAGTGTCATATCATCATTAAGTTTATTCTGATTAATTGTGTGGTATCTTTACATTTATCATCTAATTACAAAAATCAATATGAGTCGCATATATCTGTATACGTTATTTTTTTCTTTGAAAAGAAAAGGAGAACAAAACATTCCGTAAGGAGAAAGGGAAAATTATCACTTGAGAAGTATTTCCCTAAAAAGATGTAGCATTCAACAGTTTTTCTATTTCTGACCAGGGGTGGATGTAGAGTATGCCCGCCAGGTTCATCTGAACTCAGTACTTTCGCCGCGGAGCATAAACTTATGTGTAAAAATTCATTAAAATTGCAACAAATGGTAGGTGTGAACCCATAACTTTAAAAAACAATGGGTTCGATACTAAAAACCAAAAGTTGAACCCACAAAATCTACATCCTGGATCCACCTCTGTTTCTGGCTGCAATAGAATTTTATCCAGGTGCAGTAACAGAAATCTGATGTGAACTACTTCTCAAGCAAAACCAACACGAACAAGTTTGAGATTCATATTATTATGCTAATAAAATCCCAATCTCAAAGCACTGAAAATGATCCTTACGCTTTCACATCACAGGCTATACGATATGAAGTACCATAAAATATTTTTATAAGCTTCAGTTGCAATATGGCTCGTCACAGTCAAATGACACCAGTTCATGACGAAACAAAGCATCCCTAAATGACATACCTTGGGTATGTACTCTTAGTTTTTGTACTTCATTGTTTGTTTTTCAAACCCAATTGTAGGGAACTGCTTAGCATACTCCTCTACATCATGGCGGAGCTTTGCAATTTCAGACTTGATTGGAGCACTGGATTGTAGCGTTGCTACAAAGTCTTTCAACTTTGTCCCTGATACAATAAGATGATATTTATGGTGACTGTGGAAGGAGTTAATATTTAAAAACAAAAATAAAACAAAATGTCAAATGAAGCAAGCATTGAGGTACCAAAATCTAACTCTTCCTGTGAAGAACTAAAAGAGTGATAATAAAAGGAAACGGCAAATACTTTGGAAATCATGTATACCTAACAAGTAACAAGTCAGATGGACATCAATAGGGTATTTTTTTGTGCGATTCAAGTTATATGCACTAACGATGTTAAGAACTTTTACACTATCAGTAATAACTAACTACTAACTGGTTATTACTTTATTTTCCAGGTTACCATATCATACTTAATATGGAGAGTTACCTATTTTGTGGGTTCAATTTAACTACACCATCGGCGCATAGTACATAAACGTGTTATAACCAATATTCATTACTAGCTGGATCATACACACCTTGAGTTTCAGCCTTTACTTTCACTGCTAGCTTCACCGCAGCATCAAAGAATTCAGCAACTTTCACAAAATCTTCCTCAACAAATCCCCGAGAAGTGAGTGCAGGAGTTCCTGATTTACAACAGTTTTATCAAGTTTGTTTACAAGGAAGAATAACTAAATGGAAGAAAATATCATAGAGAGAGGTGTCTTACCCATCCTGATGCCACCAGGGACCATAGCAGATACATCTCCAGGAACAGTGTTCTTGTTGGCTGCAATATGTACAGCTTCCAAGATTTTCTCAACCCTAGAACCATCAATACCCTGTAAAAGGACAACGCTCAATATTTGTGGTGTACTATTTCTCTCGCGATAATACATAACAGATGCCACTACATAACATGCAGCAAGCTCATGCACTAATGCCTCATATGATCTTTCTAAGAACTCATTGCAATAACTGTACTGCTTATTTTGTTAATTCATCAAAAGCAGTTGTTAAACTTACTACTCCTCACAGTAAACTCACAGAGGAAGGTTTCTCCCTTGTCCTAAGAGTTTACTTTACCTTGTTTTTCAGGTTCACCAAAACCAAGTGATTCTCCGTTCCTCCAGAGACAAGTTCATAACCATTCTCCATTAAAGCCTGCAAGGTTGAAAAATATGCAGCAGCAATGAAGAAATCAATATTATGGAGATAATGACTCAACCATAATTTATAGATTACTGTAAATAAACTACGGATTTCACTTATATGCTTCTATTAGGAACTGCATATCTCATTCTCTTACCTGGGCAAATTTTGAGCAGTTGCTGAGGACCTGCTCTTGGTATGCTTTGTATTCTGGAGTGATTGCCTGCATTTAGTAGGATTAGAGGCATAATGAGAACTACTACCATCACAATAGTTTTCACATTTTCCTAAGAAATACTAAAGAGAAAAATGGAAGGCCTTTCAAATTACTGAAGTTTTTTCAGAAAGTGTTGAGGCCAACAAGGAGTAAAGAAGAATTTCGATTGGCTAGGGAGGTTGTTCTTCCAAAACCTCCAGCACACTTTGAATTCAGTAATACATAAATGACATTCATGTATGTCTTAAAACCTTTTCAAGCTTTAGTTTCTAGTCCTCGACTAGCTGCTTTATATAATCCATGGGTTTTACACACTCAGAGAAAAGAAATTAAGATTTAATAAGACATCAAAAGTGCTATCTGCAGGTGTTTATAGTAAAATTCTGGGGCAATAAGTATATTCTGTTTGTTTCACAAAATCATTTCCTGAACCAACGTGAAAACCTTTCAGTTCTTAAATCGCTGAGTTTATTTCATCAGCTAAGACACAGGGATATTTTATTCAGGAATATCCCTAAATGACGAGTAAGAACTTAGCCAGTGGCTATACAATTAAAAAATGCTGTTGTAAGGATATCAAACCTGTTTCAAGGCAACTGCCAAGCCAGTAATGGTGTGATTGTGAGGACCGCCTTGAAGTCCAGGAAAGACTGCCTGATTGATTTTGTCTTCATAATCGTATAAAACCTTCAGAATTAACATAATGTAATTAGGCTATTAGTTTCAACACTAGCTACTATGCGATATATATCTCAGATTTAGCCAGCAACCAGAAAAGAGTCCTAAAAAGCTGGTTAAATATTAAGAGATGTGATGCTGAGGTGACAGTTAAGACTTACCTCCTTCCCTTGCTTGTTAACCTCTTTAACACCCTTCCTGAAGAAAATCATAGCACCACGAGGCCCACGAAGGGATTTGTGGGTTGTGGTAGTGACAACATCAGCATAATCAAATGGTGATGGGATGACTCCAGCTGCAACCAATCCACTAATGTGTGCCATATCTGCTAATAAAATAGCTTTCTGTTTGTCGCAGACCTGTAAGATATGCAAAGAGGCACAAGTCAAATGCCTACTCTAAAATTTATGAAGCTGATATAGACAACTAAAGTAAATATTGCACAATGGTGAAGTAAATTTTACCTTCCGGATTCGTTCATAGTCATAAAGACGTGCATAGGCACTAGCACCAGCAACAATTAATTTTGGCCTAAACAGTGTGGCACTTTTCTCAAGCTGCATAGAAAAATCAAAAGCCACAAAATGTTCAAAAAGAACAGGTACCCGTTGAAAGAATCTAACATCCCAAGCACGAAGTAAAGTAGATCAGCCTTCAATAGTACTTATCATCTGAATAAACATATAAATTTCTTTTACACTTGCTAACATAACCAGATGAAAAATCAGTTATAAGAAGTAAAAGAAACTTCAAAATAATCTGAAAAATATAATAATGGAGGCAATGCCAGCTCCAAAATATTGTCTCATACTAATGAACAGTTATCTGGACATCTTTACACTGAATCAATGATGGACCTTCTGTCATCACATTACATTAGTTTTACTTTTCATCATGTTATAAAATGCTTTGTGCCTCAGCATGACTATTGCTTCGAAAGATAAGGAACTCTTAAAAAGAAGCTGGATTTACAATGTTGAATATGATTACACAAGTGCACCATTTAAAAGGAGAGGGTAAAGGGTAGGAGTCAAATGAAAAGAACAGTAATAAGAAAGAAGAGACTACCTGGTCATAGTCAATATAGCCAGTGCTCTCATTGAGTCTGTATGGCATTGTCTCAAAGAATATAGAGACTGCAGATATCTTCTTCGTATCAGTCTGTGATAATCGAACATAACATAAGACAACCCCTTTATAATATAATGTAATCAAATTGAAACCATACAATAATTGCACTAGAAAGAAGAAATTAAGTTTTGACAAGAGATAAGCCGACTCCACCTCCAGCTATGTACAGCGTGTATGAACATAACAGGTACATGCACTCATATATGCATCAATTGACATGCATCGAACTTCATTTAATTCAATTTTTACCAGTATTAACTTCCAGAGTTAAGATCATGCATGACCTTAAAGCAGAAAAGTTCGGTCTTTTTAAGTGGCCAAGCATCACTAATGAATTAACTAACAAAGATCAATGCAATGTATGAACCAACCTGATAAAAATTGCATACACAGATATATAAGATTGTTTAACAGCATTTCCGTTTAAACTGTCCCTTGCTCGCATATCAGATGAAATTTGTGGTGTTGGCCTAAATCCTAGAGAAATTCTTCATCCACAAGAATGATAAAGCAGAAGATATAAGTAATATAACAAATGCACCTCATAGAAGCCCAGATAGCAGCAAATTCCCATTACCAAGGACCAAGGAAGGAGTACAGTATTTACACCACAAACCACTAGCACAAGCTTCTTAAGTGCTTACACTTTTTTTAAGCAAAGTTACTGGTTCTCAATAACCAAAATACCAGTATATAGAAGCACCTGATATCCATGAGAAAGATGTCCACCATGAGGAAGATCAAGAGCCATGATCCGTTCATGAGGTTTTAATAATGCAGTGTAAACATGAAAATTAGCAGGTGATCCTGATAGAGGCTGCACATTCACTGCAATAATAAAGGTTAATTAAGGAAGAGTACTTTTATTACCAGCACTATTTAGGTGATGAAATACGCCCCAAAATGAACGAAATCTATTACCTCCCCACTTTGCAGGATCCAACCTGAATGCTTCCAAAGCACGTTTCTGGCATAAAGTTTCTGCCATGTCTATGTACCTGGACAGCCACTCATTCTCTCATAATAGGAAAAGAATATCTGAAGCTGATATATAACATGAAAATACAGGTTAATTACAAAAGAAGTAGGAGAATGAAATTTAGCAAACATTATGCGTACTCATTTCCTCCATAATATCTGGCACCAGGATATCCTTCACTATACTTGTTAGTCATAACTGATCCAACTGCTTGCATCACCGAAAGGGAAGTGAAATTTTCTGAAGGAATCAGTTCGAGCCCCTAAAGAAAGCATTTTGAACTCTGGTAAGGAATTTAACTTCCATATCGAACTGATTCTATGCATCTTAAACAAAATAAAAAAATTTACCACAAATGGAAACAATATGTGATAAGAAGAGTAAAAGGAATGAGACATAATTATACTTGACTTTTTCTTCTTTTTTTTTTGGTCTGATAAAGAATTCTTAACAGGAGATTGATAAGTTAATTAATTTCAGCATTGGAACTCCCCACAAAGTAATCTGAAAGGCATTTGCACCTACACCAGGGTTCAAATCTCAATTGAAATAGAAACACTGGGTGATTTTTTTTTCCATCTGCCTAAGCCTTGGTGGACAGAGTTACTCAATAGTCGTGCTGGTGAGAGGTAGCAAGTATTCCCTGAAATAGTTGAGATGCGTAAAATCCAACCCAAATACCATTGTTATAATAAAAAGTTATCTGAAAGGCATTTCATATAGACTTGTTTATCTTCAATTTGATGAAACCGAAACATCATTTTTGGCACGGCTTCACAAATATTATGTGCTTGTTAAGTTTTCTAATTTGCTACAATCTGACATAAGTTTTTTTTTTCGAGGACTTTCTTTCTTTCTTTCTTTCTTTCTAGGGGAGGTTGGGGGTGCAGTGCTCCAATATAAGACGAAGCTCTTAGACCGATCACGTGAAGTTATCAAATTATACCGATACAGGTAATTCAACAAAATTTCAGGGAGCAGGAGATGGACAAAAAAAGAAAAAGAACAAGAAGAAGATAGAACCTTCCATTGGCGAGCTTTCTCAAGCTCAATTATGTCAGCAATCTCAGGATCAACAACCTCCAGCGGGGCATTCAGTTGCTTTGGCCACTGAAAATATTCAGGCTTTCAAGTCAGAAACTAAAAGGAACGAGTATAAGTTCAAATAACACACTAATTCAAATTCATCACGAGCTTACGGTGACTCCAGAGTTTTCCTTGTCGTAGACAGCTTCATTTGGCAAAGATGACTGCAACAACAACAACGACACGAATTAATTCAACAACAAACTGACCAAAGTTAAGAGAAATTAACTTAAGGAAAAAACTGATACTACTACTAAACAAAGACAAACCATGTAATAGAGAGAGCCACCATTAGAGAGACGCTTAATGGGTTTGTCAACTGTAGATGAAAGCCTCCGAAGAGCTATTGCCATTGCCATTGCAGCTGTCCTCCTTCTGCACACACACACACACACTCAAAAAGTTGTGAATGTTTTTGTTTGGAGTGGGAGATGGTGTTTGGGTGGTGAGAGAATTTTGGATAAATATTATGGTCGTTGTGGCGCCAGCTTACTCATATTTCATATCCCTTTCTTTTTACTCATGTTAAAGTTAAGTAACGGCTAAGGAGTGTTTAAAATCTTAAGCATATGTTTATTTGGAATACTTTGGCGCTCATTATTTAATATATGGTAATAAATTCAAACTTAGCATAATTTGTGTTTGTAAAAATAATCCAAATTTTGTGCACTAAAATGTAAGTATCAAATGTGTGAATTGAAGTGGAAAAATACTGATACTTTAGCTATCCTATTCGATAATACCAGCCATAGAAGCCATATCCAACTAACAAGTTTCTTAGCCACAAGGGGCCTCTCCACGATTTAAGCTAATCTTTTTAAGAGATTTCTTCTTTCCTATACCATATATGAAACCTTATTATTAAGAATGTGCATAGTTTTTAATTTACTCGTCATGTCCACATTTTTTCTACAGTTATTATATCAATCATTAAATACTAATTAATAATAGCTGAATCTTCCTAATTTGTCGAGCTAAAATTGAGGAACATAATATTCTAAAAAGATTTGGCGTAAATCAGATCAAATCATATTCTTCCAGATATTCCAATTTAGGCGCGCTACAATTATGGAAGTAAATATTCTTCCAGATATTTTCCACCATTGATAGCCATTAAAAAGCTTGAAAGCTTTGAATCCAAATTTGGGTTTTCAAAAATCATTATTTGTTTGGATTGGGTGTTGTTGAAAATAATCGGGAATATGGTTTGGAGTTTATATCTCAATTTTGAGGGGTTTTGGTGAAGATTAGACTTGGTTTTGACTGAAATTCAGATTGAAACTCGAAGAAGAAGAAGAAGAAGAAGAAGAAGACATATTGCAGAAATTGTAGATAAATTGTAGATTATTTGTATTCTGATTGTAGATGCTTTATTTTTTGTTTTCACAAATAAAAAATGGCTAAAACTTCTACAAATCTTTTGAAAAACATAATTATGTCAAAAATCACAATTATGCTACAATTGGATGGGAATTGGGATATAAAAATTCAATGTACCAAGTTTGTAGATATTTTGTAGATAAATTGTAGATTATTTGTATTCTAATTGTAGGTGATTTGTTTTCTGTTTTCACAAATCAAAAACGACTAAAACTTGTACAAATCTTCTGCAAAAAACGGAATTATGTCGAAAAATGCCAATTATGCTACAATTGAAATGGGAATTGGGATATTAAAATTTAATGTATCCAGTTTGTAGATATTTTGTAGATAAATTGTAGATTATTTGTATTCTGATTGTAGATGCATTGTTTTCTGTTTTCACAAATCCACAACGACTAAAACTTCTACAATTTATCTACAAATAATCTACAATTAATCTACAATTTATCTTCAATTTCTGCAATATGTCTTCTTCTTCTTCTTCTTCGAGTTTCAATATGAATTTCAGTCAAAACCAAGTCTAATCTTCACCAGAACTCCTCAAAATCGAGATATAAACTCCAAAATATATTCCCAATTATTTTGAACAACACCCAATCAAAATAAATAATGATTTTTGAAAATCCAAATTTGAATTCAAAGCTTCAAAGCTTTTTAATAGCTGTCAATGATGGAATTGCTGCTCTCTTGTCTCTTTGAATGTTTGTTCTTCTTCATTGAGAAAATTTGAAGCTGAAGGTAAATGTGTGTATGAACTTTGAAGATTTGACTTCAATTTTGATGAACTTTGTTGTTCTTCATTGATGAACTTCAACTGGAGTAAAATGGGGAACCAACTTTGTTGAAGGGTTTCTTCAATTTTCTGTGAATTTAGAGGGAGAATTTGGTTTCAGAAGATGAAAAATGGTAAAAAGAACGTGGGTATGGGTAAATGTGGGTGGGACTGAGGGGTTAGGAGAGAGAAACGTGCAGATTCCTTTAATTAAGGAGTAAAAAATGTACAATTAATTATATCCTTAATTAATTATGGTATAAAATTGGTAATTTGGTATACTAAGTGTAATTAAGTCAAACTTTAAACATTGAGGATAATAAGGTTTCCTATGTGGCATAAGAATGAAAAAATCTCAATCTAATCTTTAACCTATTATGGAATTTGGGGAAACCATCTCTTTCAATTCACGGACCAGTGAACTTGGGTCACTATACTTCCGCCCCGATGACCAGGCGACCAGCCGTGGGTCCGATGGCACTACAACAGAAGTTTTAAATGGGGCTGAAGCGACAATTTGGAGGCTCTTTTGCAGAATCATTTCTCATTTCGTCCATGCGGATGTAAACTTACAATTGCCTTAGCTGTCTTGCTCAAATATGGGCCTGATTTTGTATTCGGAATCTTTACACAAACAGCCAGTCAAAAGTTACTATTTACATTTTCTAGCCGTTATACTGTACATACATTATACACTTATTGCATGGAGTTATACATATTTTTTTATATATGAATTATAAATATATTATTTATGAGCCGACTATTTTTAATCTAACAGCTTGTTTGGATGGTTGTTACCTATTGTACTGTATTGTATTATTACTTTAAATACGATGTTTGTTTTGATTGTTACTTAAATTTTATTGTATCGTATTGTTAAATCTGTCTTTACGTAACGACGAAATGTGCCACTATACATAATGACCGATTTGGTGTGGTTGCATCGTTATCTTGTCTTTTTCTCTCATCTCACCCTTCATTATTACTAAATAATTTTATTTTATTATTTACCCTACCTTTTTATATAATAAAATTTACCCCGTATCATAATTTTTCTTTATAATATTGCAAGTTTATTCTTCATATTACCGGTACGTGATATCATGAAACAACAGCAAACGATACGATCTATCCAAACATTGTATTTATCAAACGATACGATACAGTACGATATAATACAATACAATACATTATGAAAATGACGGGTAACAACTCTCCAAACAAGCTGTAAGTGGTTGGATAAATAACTATTTATTATACACTGATTGGCTTCTTTCACTTGAGTATTAGTGGGACCCTTTTTCTCGAAAAGCCGAAAGACTACCAAAATATTCGGGCCGAGTGCACAAATAGCAACTTGGACGAATGCTAAATATAATCGAAATTTACAAATTATTTAAAATTAACCATTTCGAAATCAAACATGAGAGTTGAGACCTCAGGTCTGAAGCTTCAACTTCACTCCTTCGAGTTTGAAGTTAGGAATTGGCGAAGTATAATTTCAGACTTCAAGTAATTTTGGTTAAATATGCTAGAGAAGACTTATTTTTGCAATAAGTAGTGTAGCCTATTATAGTCATATAGTCCCCACGTTAGATGAATTTTCTACTGCAACATCTTATTGATGGATATCAAACTAAAAGTAAAATTGATTACTTTCTGAAAGATAATATATTTTTGTTTTATGATGAATACACAAATGAAAAGACGTATTATCAAACACTAACATTTGATGTTATTGACTCCGTCTTCAAAAATTATCCACTCAAGAAACCTTTCCTCAAGTCCACATGGTGATGCACAAAGTGCAACCAAAGGAATCCAATGGCAAATTTAAAAAATATAGACTCTACACATCATTTTGAGTTTCCCTAGTTTTTGTTGGTATGCATAAGGCCATAGAAATAAGAAACCTTTGCTTTGTTCTATGAATTTAGTCCCCATGGTAAAGATTATGGTTAGCGGCGACAAGAGTAGTTTGCCGTGGGTATGGGCTGACATATTTCCAAAATGGAATTTTTACATTCCTATATCACATAGGAAACTTTTTTACCCTACATGTTTAAGTGTCACGACTCAATTTCCAGACCCGGTCGTGATGGCGCCTCTCGTGAAGACAAGGCCAGCCAGAACAACGCAACACCTCTTTCAAAGCCATTAATTAATATTAACAATTCTAACACATGCTTGATATAGTCAATAATGCGGAATCAACGATAAAAACAAAGGAAACCATCCCGACACAGCCCAACACGGGGTGTCACAAGTCATGAGCTACTACAAAGTTTGCTATAAGTCTACAAGGAGTAATATCCGATACAATAGTCTGAAGAAAACATAAATGATATAAGATAGGGGAGACAAGGGGCTGCGGACGTCAACAGCTACCTCGTATCTCCAAATCGCTGCCTGGTCTGGAAAGGAAATCAGCGCTCAGGTGCGGACTCTGCTATACCTGAATCTGCACACATGGTGCAGGGAGTAATGTGAGTACTCCGACCCAGTGAGTAATAATAATAAATAATAACCGAAGGCATGAAAACACATAACTGCACAAAGCAATTCTATATCGTGCAGTAAAACAGTGAAAACAGTAGAACGGTAAAGAGTTGAATGAAATCTCCTTTTTAAAATCAGGTAAAACAACAAGTAAATAGTGAGTAGAAATCTGCCCCTCGGGCTCAGTATCAATCGCTCAGAACAGTATCAGCCCCTCGGGCTCAGTATCAGTCACTCAGCATAATATCAGCCCCTCGGGCTCACTCTCATATCACATGGGTACCCGCGCTCACTGTGGGTGTGCAGACTCCGGAGGGGCCCCTTACGGCCCAAGCGCTACATCAACATAAGGCCTGAAAGCCTTCACACATCATACTCGAGGCATGAAAGCCTCCTCACATATCACTCGAGGCCTGAAAGCCTCCTCACAATACACTCGAGGCCTGAAAGCATCCTCACAATACACTCGAGGCCTGAAAGCCTCCTCACCATACACTCGAGGCCTGAAAGCCTCCTCACAATACGCTCAAGGCCTGAAAGCCTCGCTCAGTCCAGAAACATCATAAGCCCCTAGGGCGTAAATAAAATAATAGTTCTCAGCCCAAACAGCAGTGAAAATATCATTAAAATCTCAGAATTCAATTAAGGCGGCTGAGTTTGCAAAACAGTATAAGTATAGGGACTGAGTTCAAATAACGTATCAAAATAGTGAGGAATTAGTGATAACAATCCCTGAAGGATTCAAGTAATCGGCATTAAGCCCAAAACATGGCAATAAGCCCAAATAACGATGATAAACAAATCAGCTTAGTCATTTACGTGGTAAATATATCAAACGGGACGGACCAAGTCACAATCCCCAGTAGTAAACAACCCCGCGCTCGCCATTAAGCGCGTGTCTCTCCTCAATATAGCACTACGTTGTGCAAAAATCCGGGGTTTCAAACCCTCAGGATATCATTTACTATCATTACTCACCTCAAGCTGGCCAAAGTC